CAGACAAGACTCTCGAAGTCGGCGTAGATTATGAAGGGTGCTTTGAGCTGCTTGTGGTTGTTCTCAAAGCGGATTTGGTCGTTTTTTCCGGGTATTGCCATTCTCATGGCGACCGCGACCTGGTTGATGCATCGACATTCAGGATTATGCTCTTCCAGGAAATCCTGTCTAGTAAAGCAACGCTTAGAGAAGTGCAGATGATGACGGCCACTCTAGTTGAGAAGACGGTTGAAGCCCTTGATCCAGGTGTAGTGGTATTTCTCAGGATGATTCGGATCCGAGTTGAGGAAGAGATTCACAATCTTGCGGCTCACTCTACTTTGCTCAGAAGACAAGGAACGACGCCGCCTTCCCACCCGTACACGTTGATAGCAAAGTCGTTCTGACGCTCTACTCGTTTAAGCATGGAGACTAGTGCGGGTGCGCTTACTCCCGCAACGTTAAGGACGTCTTCAGTGCGATACCTGTCCCGCTGTTGCGGATCTTTAGCTGCAGAAAACATCGCAGCCCTTAAAGAACAGTGGAGGCAGTCATCGTAATTGTTTTTCACGTTGACGCTCGCGTTCTTATTTTTGACCGTGGTTGGGAGAGGAAGGTATGAGCCTCCATTTAAAGGCTGGTAGTCAGCGATGTCAAGCCAGAGTGTTTTGACACGACCCACTATCCACCCAGACCCTTCCCGAGTGAACTTTCCCAATCACTCCAGGATTGTTGGGAAGGCTTCATGTAGGGCTTGCAGAATCTCATGCGCCGGTAGCAGCGTGATCTGCTTTGTCCGGAACACTGCAGCTTGAAGCACTTCATGGCCGTTTGCTTCATCCTTCCGAAGCTCAACCTCTACAGCCAACTGGAACTTAACTCCTCGTAGAGCTAATAGCTCCTCGACGAGTTTGCGTGTGATGTAGGGCTGGGCGCGTTTGAGGAAAGCCATCAAATCGCGTTTGGAGGGGTGCCCCTTCGTCACCTGCATTTTCCAGGCTCTCAGATGATAGCTGAAGGCCTTCGTTTCATCCCACTTAAGTTCCGTGGGTGCTGGTGGAGGAGACCTTGTGAGGCGTGGTGGTTTTGGAGCAGGCCTTTTGGTTGGTGTAATCTTTGTTACTCGTGGTTTTAGGGTAGGCCTGCGGGCAACAGGAACGGGAATCTTAGACGTCCTCGGCTTAGGAGTAGGTCTACGAGGCGTAGATACGGGGATCTTAGACGTCCTCGGTTTCGGGATTGGCCGGCACTTTCGCGGTTTGGGGATAGGCGGAGTGACATTTCTTGGCGTGGGTGTCAAAGCAGCGGGCGGTTGAAGAGCCTTGAGAGAGGCGTTCAGCGCGTCTTCGCTGATTACACCGTGTATGAATAATTGTATAAGATCCTTAACAACAACTTCCACCTCAAGTTATATGTTTGTAAATGAAGATCGTCCAGGTTAATAAAGTCCTGAGAAGGACTGTTTTTGTTGTTTTTGACTGACGTTTCGACAACATTATCGGTAGTCATCTTCAGAGTCAAATGAGGAGTAAACGTCAGGTTAGCCGTATTTGTTGTCTGGTTCTTACGTCATTGTGTTGTGTGTACAGGAAATGTGTATTGTCATTGTGGATTAGTGTGAAGTGAAATATTTTATTTTTAGTTGTGATGTGTGATTTAGGTGTGACGTTTTTAGTTGTAGTGTGTGGGTGTCAATTGTGTATTGTCATTGTGAATTAGTTTGAAGTGTAATGTTTTTAGTTGATCGTTTGTTTGTATTGTGAATAAGTCGTTTGTAAGGTGCCGGTAATTGCTGTGATCTGTTTAAGGGGGGTTGTTCCAAGTTGGTATACCAACTTTCTAATGTAAGCCGTTGTCTATAGTCAGTACTGTAAGTGATGCATTTTGCCGAGTCCCAGTCAATGTTGTGCTTTGTGATTCGGTGATGTTCGGCAATGTGATTAGTTTTGTCTTGTTTCTTAGTAGCTCGTTTGTGCTCAGTAAGTCTCATGTTTAAGTTCCTGCCAGTTTCCCCGATTTAGGAGGCGTGGCAGTCGGATCAGTTTATTTTGTAAACTGCACCTTGTCGTTTGTTGGGTTGCTCTTTGTCCTTTATGTTCGTTAGTACTTGTCGTAACGTTGTGATTGGTTTATGTGCGACACGTATGTTGCATGGTCGTAAGATACCCGAGATAGTCTCAGACGTACCTTTGATGTAAGGTATCGTAGCTGTTGTCACTGAGTTGTTCGTTTCGTTGGGTTCATTGGGTTTGTAAGTGTTGCGTTTGATAAAGTCAGAGTTATAGTAGTTTTTGTCAAAACTATTTGTAGAGCGTCCGGTGAATCACATATGATTTGTGCACGTCTTGTAAATGTTCTGATTGTGGTGGCTTTGTGTGATGTAGGGTTGTAAGATGATTGGTCTAGTAGTCGGTCAGTATGTGTTGCATTGCGATAAACTGATTTTCGTAGTTTTTGATTGTCATGTTTTACCAAACAGTCGAGAAAAGGAAGAGTTCCGTTTTCTTCGACATCTTTGGTAAATTGTATGTGGCTGTTCTGTTTGTTGATGTGAGTATGGACAGGGGAGCCCATTGCTGTCCCATGTAATTGTTTGTAGTGTGTTCCTTTGTATTGGAAGTAAGTCGAGGTGAGGCAGAGCTCTAGTAACTCCATAATGTCTTCTGTCGGTAATGGCTCGCCCGTTTCTGTTGTAGTTGCTGAAATTGTAATGCAATCTATAGAGGAACGGGCACTCATGTATTACAAACATGCACTACCTTTTTGATTTCGCTACGTAGATGACACAATCACAGCACTACATGCAGACGAGATTGATGACTTCCATACTCACATCAACAAACAGAACAGCCACATACAATTTACCAAAGATGTCGAAGAAAACGGAACTCTTCCTTTTCTCGACTGTTTGGTAAAACATGACAATCAAAAACTACGAAAATCAGTTTATCGCAATGCAACACATACTGACCGACTACTAGACCAATCATCTTACAACCCTACATCACACAAAGCCACCACAATCAGAACATTTACAAGACGTGCACAAATCATATGTGATTCACCGGACGCTCTACAAATAGTTTTGACAAAAACTACTATAACTCTGACTTTATCAAACGCAACACTTACAAACCCAATGAACCCAACGAAACGAACAACTCAGTGACAACAGCTACGATACCTTACATCAAAGGTACGTCTGAGACTATCTCGGGTATCTTACGACCATGCAACATACGTGTCGCACATAAACCAATCACAACGTTACGACAAGTACTAACGAACAGAAAGGACAAAGAACAACCCAACGAACGACAAGGTGCAGTTTACAAAATAAACTGCTCCGACTGCCACGCCTCCTATATCGGGGAAACTGGCAGGAACTTAAACATGAGACTTACTGAGCACAAACGAGCTACTAAGAAACAAGACAAAACTAATCACATTGCCGAACATCACCGAATCACAAAGCACAACATTGACTGGGACTCGGCAAAATGCATCACTTACAGTACTGACTATAGACAACGGCTTACATTAGAAAGTTGGTATACCAACTTGGAACAACCCCCCTTAAACAGATCACAGCAATTACCGGCACCTTACAAACGACTTATTCACAATACAAACAAACGATCAACTAAAAACATTACACTTCAAACTAATTCACAATGACAATACACAATTGACACCCACACACTACAACTAAAAACGTCACACCTAAATCACACATCACAACTAAAAATAAAATATTTCACTTCACACTAATCCACAATGACAATACACATTTCCTGCACATTTCCTGTACACACAATACAATGACGTAAGAAACAGACAACAAATACGGCTAACCTGACGTTTACTCCTCATTTGACTCTGAAGATGACTACCGATAAGGTTGTCGAAACGTCAGTCAACAACAACAAAAACAGTCCTTCTCAGGACTTTATTAACCTGGACGATCATCATTTACAAACATATAACGATACTCCCGGGTTCAAACCATTTACTTTATTCCACCTCAAGTGTCGCAAATTTTAGTTCTATACTGTACGAGAGATAAATCTCTAAACTGAAATTAATTCAAAATGTCAAAGTTAATTTTAAATGTCAAAGTTGATTCGACAAATACTCTAGCAAATCTCTTTCTTGCTTGTTTCTGTTTATAAACGAGCTTATGATGCACCCTATCCACACTGCAGGCTTAACAAAGGAAAGTTTCTGTCTGTGTTACGACCCCACATTTACGACATGGTTGTGGAAGTCGTCTACCTTCCCTTAATTGCCTCATATGAAGTCCTATGTATTCACCTATGGAGCTTCACCCACATGTGGTGAGTTTGCGGGTAAAAATCACGCACACTTGTTCTTGCCCTGCCTCATAATAATGTGTTAAGACATATACTCTATGAGAGAATATCTCTCTAAATAATAGACCCCGACGGCCGACTGCGTGGGCGCGGGGGTGGGCCGGCCATCTTTGGCTCCTGCCGTTGTCCTGGGTTTGACATTTGCTGTAATTATGCTAGCATACTTACGCGAACTAAAGTTGGGGCGCCTAGATTTGCATCTAATAGGTATCAAACTGTGAGGTGGGCCAGAAACGACGCTTTCTCAATTTGAGTTGGGCCAGAAACGACGCTTTTTCAAGTTGAGGTGGACCAGAAACGACGCTCTGAATACTACTACAGCGTCCCCTTCAAAGTGCAAATTTAATAAAAAAAAAGGCAGCAACTTTGTTTTGAAAGAGACAGACCTCTTACAAAACTCAGCGACATTTTCAAAACTAAAACAACACTCTGCAGAAGAGCATGAAGTTATGCCTTATATAAATACACGCCAACTTTATATAAAATAGCTGCAATTTCTTAAAAATATCACGCAACACTTCTATGCATATGTAGTAGACGTAGTTAGTGTTCCTGCCCTTCCTTTCCAGCAAGACTAAAAACTGTGTAAACAAAACTCATTGAAGACAATAACCTAAACTTTACTAGAAAAAAAAATGAAGACCTTACTTTTGTTCAACCTCTTCTACTATTTTAGTATCTCCAATATAGTCAGATCTCTTCTTGTCTCCAATTAAACCAGCAACAAACTGTATCACCAAATGCCATTTAGGATCTGACACATAATTATCCAAAAACTGTGGAATTTCGCTCAATTTGTCTACAATACATTGCGCAGCCAGAAACTCTTGAATAGTCAAATGTAGGAAACAGTACTGAAAGCGTGATACATCCGGTATACGGTGAAATATACCACAATTTTCTACCTCATGAAAAGCACTATCACTTCTTTTTTCAAAAATCAAATTTCCTTCGGCAATTCCACTAACTGCAATATCTTTTATTTTTTCAATATCTTTTTTGAGCTCGGGTGGCAAAGGAATTATAAGATAATCATTGTTTCTTGGTATTTTACCTGATTTGCAAAGTGGATGATGCTTCCACAGCAAGACTTTGATTGCTCTGTTATACAACTCAGTGATGGTTTTTGGAATATCTTTAGCCTTACATGTTAAGCTCTCTTTTAGGGTCAGACAAACAATGTAACTATTCACAGGAATATAACACAAACTTTTAAGTTCAAGAGAAGTATTAATGTGCTTATAAATGTTTTTGGCTGTATTCTTGTCTTTGCCACAAAACTTGTTGATGTATTCTTTAATCTGATCTTCGAAAAAGCCCAAGATTTCCACAGTCCTGTCAAACTTTAAATCCCCATATGCATGTTCAGCTGTGGGTCGTGATGTTACTAGAACAATGGCATCAGACAGCGTTTCACCTTCAACTAACTTTTTTATTAGTTTAAATACAGAGTTCTTTGTTTCATGGAACTCTAAACGATTTAAAAATAATTCATCGAGTCCGTCGATGATAATGACAGTTTGCTTTGGATAAGTGATTATGAATTGGTAAACTTGAGAATAATGTTTATCTTTTAGTCCATCACACCGATATAACATTTCTTTGAGAGTAATGTCGGAAGTTTTAAGATCACGACATTTCACTAAAACAACAAGTTTATCATGCCAAAATTCATCTCGATTATTTTTCCACTCGTATATAAGTTTCTTAGTCAGCATAGTTTTACCAATTCCCGGTCTTCCAATGACTAAAATAGACCTTGGATACGACGTGCTCTGCTCACCTAGGATTGGTTTAAAAATCTCAGTTATTCTTGTTAGTTTTTTTGCATCATTTCTTAATTCAAGGTAAGAATGAAAGATTTCGTGCCGATTAAAAGTTTCTGGGTAAGCATTCTTTAATTGCCTCTCTGCTTGTAGTATGACGTTGACATAAATATTATCAAGATTTCGCCACTTTTTGTTCTCATCACCAAAGTTGTCGTGTACTTCAAAAACTTTGTTGGTGTAAAGATCGTTTTTATTTTTCTCCAACCATTTTGCACTTTTGTTCTTATTTTCTTCCAACGATTTTTCCGGTTTTTGATGCAAGTAAACTGTACAAAATTTATCCTTACTTTTAAAAGAGTTACCAGTCCAAGCCTTATACGTCAAGTAACACAGCTCCAAAACAGTTAGTGTTATTACAATGAAATCGGCAGATAAAACAACTATAATTAAGGTTTCACTTTTATAGCCGTTGGGATTTACACAAACAATGGTAGAAATGGTGTGATTTAACAAGAAAATTTCTTTCATAGTTGGACGTCTTTTACAGGTGTAGTTAATGGGAAACTTGGCAGAGAAAAGTAATCCAACAAAGACAGACAATATGATGAAGCGAACCACCAAATGAAATATGTAAATGTAAAATGAGGAATTAAACGCAACGTTATTAGATTGATGAATTTCTTCGCTATATTCTCCAAGTAGAGGTTTACTTTGTTCGTTACTGATTTCTATTGGACTGTCATTATCATTATGTTCATTTCGACGCTTTACATAATATCCATAGACAATACTCCAAATTAAGACAATGCCAAAATTCAAACACACCACAAGAAAAACAGCATACTTGAAAGTTAGTCCGTCTTTGTATTGTATGAAACATCTTGATTCAATGTTTTTTAAGAGAGAGCTTTCTTTGGTCTTTGATATAATCTCATTATAACAATTAAATGAAGTATCACCATATAAATCTAATGAAATACCAGAAACGATAAAGCCAATGGAAAAAAAGATAATAAGTATTATTTCTCCAAACCAGTTAAAACTGCTCCATTGTATGTATTCATGACACTTTTCCATTTGTATGCTTAAAAAAAGTATTAAATCGTCAGATTACTTTGAATTCAAAACAAGACGCTGGCATTGGCGTTTAGTACCGTAGCCATCTTACAGATTTACTCCCGCTATGAAAATTCTGAAAGATTACTATTATTCCTTTCTTTAAAAATCCACTGTTCTCACAGTTAGTGAACACTAAAGTATTTGCATAGCAAAGTAAAAAGTCGGGCTGGCTACGCTACTACCTGCGTTACCCACAGCTTTAGGTACAAAGTCACATGCAAAATTCCAGTATTGTATATACTTCATGCAATAATGTACTTCGTGTCTAAATGACTATCGTGCATTAAGATATACAGGAATTTTAGTAAACACATCTGATATTCATAGCAATAAGTGTTGTTTTGTAATTGAATAAAGTGTGCAATCATGTTCTTCCGTTGTCGCTTAAAACTAGGTAGAGCACTGGATTGGGTAGTATATTCATGTAGGTGTGCTGTACAATAATAAATTCTTTTACAAATGTAGCTACGACTCTGTGTTTGCACCATAATCAATAATACGTAGCTGTGCCTCAGGCTACTGGTATTGGTTTAAATATGAAACAATTTGCTATTTGTTTTTGTAATAGCATGGTTTTAAGTACAATTCATCATAAACATGCACGAGTTAGTTTTTCAAGACTGCCATGCTCTTAACCAGTCAGAATTGAGAAATTTTTTCATGTATATTATTACTGGAGGAAAAGGCATTAGCATTTTGCTCTTAGTTTATTTATCCAATATGACCATTTACATTTGAAACAAATAAATGAACAAGAATCAGTGACAAAAGCTCCATACGATGCACTTTCATGTAAATTTTTTAATATTATGTGTTTGACTTAAGTTTTGATCAGCTTAGCTCCAATTACCATCTCTCAAAATAGTAAAGCTCCTTCAGTAAATAGTTTTCTGTAATATTTTAGAACCAGACTTACATAACATCAATTATTTTGATTATATAAAAGGGTAGGGAAAATGGACAGTATTTTGTTTAACTCGGCTATTTAATCAACAGGTCGTGTATTAAATTTTCAAAAAAGTTAACATAACGCAACACAGCGACAAATTAAAAACTTATTGTACAAACGGAACCTTGAATGTTATCAAACCTAAGTTGTAAACCATTTGCTCTATACTTATACGCTTTTTTCGTATTAATTAAGCCGGTTTTCCACTTGCAAACATTTGCGCCAATAGCGATAATTTTCGATCTAAAAAATTTCGTGAGACTGTGTATATTTGTTTTCTACGTGTAAAAATTAATTCAGAAAATGCAAAAAACCAATGCAAAATGGCTGAAGCAAACAGTAATTAGATTTCTGCTTCCGAATAACGTGTTATGATTCTCATTACTGCAAAAACCAGCACGACAAAGCAAACACAACAATGGTTTTTTCTACGTCGTTAGTACGTTGTAACGGTAATGAAAAGGAGAATTTCATCTGCTCGTGAAAGAGCTTATTATTCACGACATATAATATGCTTCCATGAATATCGTCTGTTTCGTTTTTCGCCAAAGAAATTTCTTTCTCTAACTTGGCTTTCTGTAAATTATATTTGTAAGATGATATTGAAATTCGATCATTTCCCAAGCAAAAAACTCCTTAACGTCCGCAAGTACGGCAGACAAACGCACATGCAAAAATCAAAAACCACTAAAAAATCATAAGAACTCAAATCTTGGTAGAGGCGTGATGACGTCTTTGCCGTTTACGTTACAGTTAGCATTTCAGTTTTTAAGAGCAGGAGGCCTTTTTTGTTGTAGGTAAAGTACCGCATGCATTTTAGAATATTTCTATTACAACAAATTGACTTTTGTAACGCAATGTAATTGTTTTAAGTGAGCATAAATCATGAATATGCCTGTTGAGCTATCAACAGAGTTTTAATAAAACAGGAAATACAGCTCCTGACAATGCAAGTCTTAAAATACAAATGCAAACCTACGTCTTAAATTCGATTTTTTTGAAGAAACAAACGTCAATGGCAAATGGATAATTTAGGATTGCCGTTAACCGTAAACGCTAAATTAAAACTTTCTATTTGCGCTTTACATACAACAATAAGAAAAATACAAATATCATTTAAAAATAATGCTCAACTTGACACGAGTTACAAGAAATCGAAATTTGAACATAATGAGAAAAGTGCAAGTCTTAAGGCCTGAAAGAATGAGACGCCAAACTATAAAAGATGATGGACAAGATTTAGTCAGAGATACGCAGACGAAACTCCGAATGAGAGTTTTATATCCGTAAAATCAGATAGTTTGTTTAATTAAAATTTCGGGAGTTGTTCTATTTTGCGTATGTTATATTTTTTGTTATAATAAACATCCACACGAATCTTTAACAAATTTACCGAAGTAAAAACGAAAAAGTCTTCGAAAAAGTCAGTGAAGAGAGGTGTTTATGTAAAAAAAACATACACTCGACATGAGCACAATATGCGCATTCAAATTGTCAATAGTTTCCTACTTCTTAACTGTATGTAGCCTCCTCAAAACATTTGGCAGAAAATTTTGTGAAGAGTTTTGTATATTGTCATGCCAAATTATGTAGAGTGTGACTGTGTCATATTATAGATTATATGATATAACGAATATTAAATTGATGTAAAATAGTATAGTCATGTTAAGAGAACACTTCCTCACCGCAATGCGTCATTGCGGCAGTATGTAGGTAGAAACGGAATGGCAAAGTTGCAAGTCATATGTAAATGCCCAAAACCACTTCCGAATAATTATACATAAATATAGCTTGCAAGATTTGGTTCGGGAGTTCGGTAAAGTTGATGTTATTGTTGTATAAACTGATCATACAAACTTGATGAATTAGAGTCGTATTGCAGAAGGCAATAAATTTCGAAAACGCAGTTCTAGGATTAACGGTTGTCCGTAATCTGAACGAGATCAAATTTAATCATTCCGTATCGCGAAGAACCAACGCTTGGAACATAAAATCGTGCACAACACTGTAAATATTATATTGAAGTGTTAAAATTATATATTTAAAATACAGTCCCATCGTTAGTGTGAAGTTTGAGAACAGTGAACCAGCACACCACGCGTGATTGTGCGAAACGTGGTCCATCAAGCAGGATATAGTAGCAGTATTCAAAAGAACACAGAAATAGGATAAAGAGTTGTTCACGATGTCAGAGCTGACAAGAAAGCGAAAGTCGAGGAGTGGGCACAAATCGTACGCTACAAGAGTTGTGAACAAGGTTAGAAGTATGGTAAACGATAATGCGCCATTTAGGAATGTCGAATTGGAAAAAATGCGGTTTATTCTCGCACAGAAATTAGATACAATTTCGAATTTGGACGATAAGATTCAGAGCTTGTTAGAAAAAGATGAAGATATTGCAGCAGCTATTTACGGCTCATCGGAATACAGTTGCAAAGTTTTGGGAGCGTTGGCCGATATCAACGAAGCGCTGAGCACGCTAGAGACAAAAAAGAGAAATGAGGAACTCACCAACACATCGGCAAGCACGGTATCCAGTTGAGCACGCTGTAGAGTAAACCTGCCTAAACTAGAGGTGAAAAAGTTCTCGGGCAGGATACAAGATTGGCGTTAATTCTGGGATTCTTTTGAAAGTTCAATTTACAACAACTACGGATTGTCTGAGGTCAACAGACTTACCTATCTGAGGGGACTGCTGGAGGAGCCGACCAAGTCTCAGCAATTTCGGAATTTGCTCTGAATTCAATCCACTATGCAGAAGCCCTGAAGGTGTTAGAACAGAGATACGGGAAAAACATGATGTTGCAAAGGGCACATGTAAATGATATGATGAACTAAAGTCCGTGTAGAACGAGAATGATACAACGAGGCTGCGCAAGTTCTTTGACGCCGTAAAGAGGAATTATCGAGGACTCGAGGCACTCGGTGTAAAGGAGAAGACGTATTGCGAGATAGTCGTGCCCAATTTTCTAACAAAAACACCGGACTCATTAAAACTGACAATTACCAGGGGAAGAGACTACATAGAGTCGGGAATGAAAGATTTTGTCGATGCATTACAAGCCAAAGTGGAGCTGCGGGAATGCAACAAATTAGCAGTTGTGGAGAAGGACGAAGATCAACGAAGAAGACGACGGGAACCAGGAACAGCTAGCGGATTGTTTGCCAGCCGCAACAACCGATTGTTTTGTGCTTTCTGCTGTGGGGAGCACAAACGCGAAGAGTGCAAGAAGATAACCGGACGGACAGAGCGTATGCAACTTCTTCGTAAGTTTAAAAGATGTTTTGTTTGTCTAAATAAAGGTCATTTAGCAAAAAATTGTCGCGCACTTACTAAGTGTATTGTATGTGGGGAGGGTCATCATGTGTCTTTATGTGACAAAGGAAAAAGGGACGAAGAAAAGGCTGAAAACCAGAGTGGTAGCGTAGAGAAAACAGAGCTGGTAAATGTGAGTAACGTGCATGTGAGTACAAACACTAGGGTAGCCTTGCAGACTGCGAAAGGAATTCTTGTAGGTCAGAATAGGAAGAGAGTGCGAGTGCTTTTTGACTCGGGAAGTCAGAAGTCTTTCGTGACAAACAGGGCAAAACAAAATGCGAAGCTTAATGTAGCAAGACGAGAATGGTTAGAGGTCAGCCCTTTTGGTGGTGAAACAAATGAAGATAAGATGACGGAGGTCGTCAATTGCAGGATCGCATCAGTTAGGGGTAATTACAAAATTCGTTTAGAGGCATTAGTAGTTCCACGTATTTGTACGGTAAAAATGAGCATATTGAGGTGGATAAGGAGCAGTATTCTCATTTGAAAAATTTGTTTTTGTCAGATTTGTTTGAAAAAGGAGATGTTGGAAGTGGATGTTTTGATAGGAGCAGATAACCTTTGGGCTTTTCAAAAAGGAGAAATAATTAAGGGGGAAAGGATGAACCAGTTGCGATTGATACTTGTTTAGGATGGGTGTAAGCGGTCCCCTGAAAGGGAGCTCGAAAGTCAAAAACGCACATGTTAATTTAGTTTCGCAAACTACAACGCAGAATACAAACAGCATAAACAGGCAAGTGAACAAGTTGTGGGATTTAGGAACACTTGGGTCAGGGAAAACTGACGATGTGCACGAAGCCTTGTTAGATAAAATTAAGTTTAATGGGCATAAGTACTCTGTTAAATTGCCGTGGAAGCAGGGTCATGGGCATTTACCAAGTAACTATGCCAATAGTTTAGCACGCATGAAAGGGCATTTTAAGCGTTTGTCAAATGAGCCTGACTTGTTAAAGGAATATTATAAAATTTTCAGGGATCAACAAAAACGGGAGTCATTGAAAGGGTTGACGAGTCAGAACCGAGGATGAATGTTCATTATCTTCCCCATCAAGCGGTTATACGTAAATAAGCCAAAACAACTAAGCTAAGAATAGTGTATGATGCATCATGAAAGGAAGGTAAGAAAGGGACTTCTTTGAATGACTGTCTTCATGTAGGACCATCATTAACACCGTTGTTGTTTGATATATTAATTAGATTTATGGAGAACAGAGTGGCCTTGGTAGGAGACATAGAGAAAGCATTTTTGAACATAGAAGTAGACAAAGCAGACAGGGACTATTTAAGATTTATGTGGGTTGGAGATGCCAATAATGCTATCTTAGAGGTTGTTGTTTACAGTTTTGCAGGGTAGTGTTTGGATTAAATGCTTCGCCATTTTTACTCAACGCCACGCTTAGGCATGACATAGCGCAATTTGCAGAATCACATCCATTGCTTGCTCAAAAATTGAATGAAGGATTTTACGTTGATGACTTAGTTTCGGGCTGCAAAAGCGCGCACGAAACAATAGATTTATATGAAAAGGCAAAATTTAGAATGTCTCAAGGCGGGTTTAACTTAAGGAAATGGATTACAAATAACGCAAACGTGAGAGCGCATATAACACAGTGTGAATGCGTGAACAATGTCGTGAGGGCGACAGATCGAGACAATAAAACATTCACACAATGGAGTTTGGGAATCCAAAAAAACGATGATTACGCAAAAGTTTTAGGTATAAGCTGGGGTTGCGACAATGATCTGTTCATGTTCGACCTGCAAAAGTTTGCATGAGACTTGGGTGACAAGAAGTTTTCTAAACGAAACTTGCTGAGCCCACTAGCAAAGATATTTGATCCGCTAGGATGAATTAGCTGCGTAATAGTTTTGATGAAATCTTGTCTCAACTGTTGTGCGTAAAAAAGATTGATTGGGATGACAAGATAAGCAGAAAGTACGTCGGTCTTTACACCAAATGGATTGAAGATCTAAACCGTGTTAAGACTATTAAGTTAAGTAGATGCATCTATAGTGGTCTGAAAGGCAAAATCCGATCTTGTGAACTTCACTGGCTTGGTGATGCAAGCGAGAAAGCGTATTGCGCGCTAGTATATTTTGTTTTTCGTACGAGTGTTGGAGTCTTTGTGAAATTGTTAACAGCAAAAACTAGAAGAAGCAATGAAGAAGCTTACTATACCTCGCTTAGAACTAATATCCGCGCTGATGTTAGTAAAGTTAATAAAATCTGTGCGGAAAGCTTTAGTAGGCCAAGTAGGGAAAATAGAAGCAAGGTACTGTTTAGATAGTATTACAGCATTATGCTGGATTCTGAATCGCGGTGAGTGGAAACAGTTTGTTAGCAAGTGTATCGTAGCAATAACACAAAAGGAGAAGTGGGGACATTGTCCAAGAATGGAAAATTCCGCTGATTTAGGAAACAGGGGAGTGTTAGCGCCGAAGATACAAGAGCAATCACTTTGGTGGACAGGACCAAGATAGCTGAGTAGTGTAGCAAGAGAATGGCCGCAATCAGAGGTAGGCGTAACTGGGAAGAGTAAAGAAGAAGAAGAAAAGCCATTGGCACTATTGGTAGTAGATACCAACGAAGAAATAGGTATTCAAAACGTGATCTCTATAGAGAGGTACAGTAGGGTTGCGAAGTTATTCCGGGTAACGGCATTGGTCACACGATTTGTTAGGAATTTGATCGCTCGGATCAAAGGGAAACATGAAGATTCAACCTTCACGGAATTAGGGAGTCAGGAGATAAATAAAGCAAAAAAATTTGGTTGAAGGCTTCACAAGAATTGCTAAAGAAGAAGGATAAGTTCAAGCAGTTAGAGATACAACTCAAGGTAGTAGAAGATGAGGGGTTACTAAAATGTCAGGGTAGGCTAGCAGAATCAGACTTGGAAGAGGAAACGAAGTTTCCAATCTTATTACCAAAGAAAAGTCGATTGACGGAATTAATAGCTGAGCATTGCCACAAAAAGGTATATCATAGTGGAGTTAGGGCAACTTTAGCAGAGATAAGGTCAAGGTTCTGGATTCCACAACGCAGACAGAAGGTAAAATTAATTCTCAACAAATGTGTCGTGTTTAAGAAGTTTGAGAGTAAACCGTATAATAGACCTAATGAAACAAACCTTCCGGCATTCAGAGTAGAGCAAGTGGAGCCATTTTTAAAGAGAGGGGTAGATTTTGCTGGACCACTATTTGTCAAGAATACATCAAGAGGACAGACAAAGTATACATCGCATTGTTTTCCTGTTGCGTAACTAGGGCCTTATATTTAGACCTAGTTAAAGATTTGTCTGCGGATGAATTCATGAGATGTTTTAGACGATTTGTAGCTAGAAGGGGGACTCAGTCAGTAACGGTATCAGACAACGCGAAAACATTCAAAGCAACAGTCAAGACTTTAGAAAACCTCTATAATAATGCAAGTGTGCAAGGGTATTTGGGAGACAAGAGGATAGAGTGGAAATTCATTCTAGAAAGAGCTCCCTGGGGGGGGTGGATTTTTTGAAAGAATGGTTAGGTCAGTGAAGACGTGCTTGAAGAAAGTATTAGGAAATGCTAGGTTAACATTTGACGAACTACTGACAATAATGGTAGAAGTTAAGTCAACATCAAATTTTAGGCCATTGACGTACGACGAGATGGGTGGTGAACCACTAACTCCTTCGCATTTGGTGACGGGAAGAAGGTTGTTGCCCATGCCAGACAATGGGTCTGGAGAAGAAAAGTCTGATGAGGGTTACTGTAAAAAACGGTATCAGAATTTGAGTAAGAAAAAAATGAATTTCTGGAATAGGTGGCGTAAAGAGTATTTGGATTGTTTAAAAGAGTTTCATAAGCAGGACAAGGACAATGCTATTAGGGTAGAAGAGAAGAGAGATGTCATGACTGTTTATGAGGATAATGTCAAAAGAGGAAATTGGAAGACAGGTGTAATAGAGGAATTGGTTTTAGGGAGAGATTGGGTGGTAAAAGGCGCTAAGGTTAGGCTAGTTAACAACGATAAAGTCATTCACCTCAATCGTCCCGTCTAAAAGCTCTTTCATACCGATTTAAAGCACGACGAAAAGGAATGTGAGCAAAAAGAGAATGAAAAAGGACTGAGAAGAAGGGAGGCGAAACATGAGGGTAGATGCAAGAGAGCCGCTGCACTTGATTCGGTATGGAAGACACAGAGTATGCTTGATTAGTTGGACTAATCTATGAGGGGAGTGTGTTGTAAATTGTCATGTCAAATTATGTAGAGTATGACTGTGTCATATTATAGATTATAACATATAACGGATATTAAATTGATGTAAAATAGTATAGTCATGTTAAGAGAACACTTCCTCACCGTAATACGTCATTGCAGTAGGATGTAGGTAGAAACGGAATGGCAAAGTTGCAAGTCATATGTAAACGCCTAAAACCACTTTTGAATAATTATATTGTAAATATAGTTTGAAAGCGTTGGTTCTGAAATCGGAAAAGTTGACGTTAGTGCTGCATGAAATAGTCATACAAATTTGATGAATTAGAGTCGTATTGCAGAAGGTAATAAATTTCGAAAAGGCAGTTCTAGGATTGACGGTTGTCCGTAATCTTAACGAGATCAAATTTAATCATTCCGTATCGCGAAGAACCAACGCTTGCAACGTAAAATCATGCACAACACTGTAAATATCTTATTGAAGTGTTAAAATTATATATTCAAAGTACAGTCCCATCGTTAGTGTGAAGTTTTAGAACAGTGAACCAGCACTTCGCGCAGATTGTGCGAAAAAGAGAACCAATGGAAACGAAAGATAATTGTAACATTACTAAAATTAGTAAAATTCTTGTAATAAGCGATACGTATCTATGGCAAATATAAACCGATTTACATAGTACTTTTAACTTGCTTTTTTTAAATACTCTACAAACCCTATCAAATTGAATAGGCGCAGAACTGTCCAAAAACTACTTTTTACTGACATAATTTAATAAAGCACACACGCTAAATAAGCAAAGGCAAACAAAAGAAAAGCATTTTGCATAGTTCTTCATAAGAACAAACCGAAACAAAACACAATTGCAACATTAAAATTAGCAAATTTTTACATTCAGAAACAATACATTTAACGAGCAGTACAAGTTTACAGCAATAATAAGCCGAATTGCTGACAGTATTTCCATACTTTTAAAACGACTTAAATATGCATTCTTTTTAGACTATAGTCACATGATTTCTAACAAACAATTCAACCTCTATAACATACCAACACATCATCACAAACATACCTTGTTTTGTTTTTGCTTATGTAATCGTTGTTGCTGTTTGTATTTTTAACTTTTTTTAACTGATATTCAACAATACGGCCATTAGTTTCTACAGGTAATCTAAAGTAAATATGATTTTATAGTATCAGTCAAGAAAAAAATTTGTTCAAAGTTTATTAAATAACTTACTATATGGCGAACAATTACATTCTGATGACAATTATACATCGCAAACACGCACAACGATTTTGTGAATTTTGTTTGACAAAACTTTTACGGGCTAACAGTTCCATCTTTCGTATTTTTCGATGTAACTCAAGAGCAAGTTATAAACGTCACACATACCCTTTACGTTGATATGTGGCTAGTGGCAAATTATTTTGTGCCGCGGAATTTATGTCATTTTAAGAACAGATTGTAATGCAAAGCAAAGATACGGTTTATGATTTCTATTGTTTTTTATAATTATGGTAATATGTTTGATTTTAATTTTGAGTATGTTGATTGATAGGTTAAAAAATGTAAAATATAATGCATTATCATAAAGTATATGCTTACTATAGGATTATCTTTACATTCTCTGCAGTGTGTATATACATACTCATATGCATTTATGTAGTCGATTGCAAAACAAGAGAGATTTGATTCAACATTTGCATGTCAGCATGAAACAAATACTATTTTAAATATGCTTTTTTTATTCTTTGTTGAAGACTTTGATTTTGAGCATATTTAATTTTCATTTTCTGTGCCATATATTTTGAATGCACTTAAATCTGATCAAAACCACTATATAAATACTTAAAATCCGAAAGAGAAGTGATATCTTTTTTATGCAGTCGATTGAGAAGCCATAGTATCTTGATTTTATATTAGCACATCAGCGTGATGCCGTGTGGTTGCCGGCTTAGAATTGCGCCAACGTATCCTCTGCGTGTCGTAAAAGACGACTAAAAGGGGTCGGTGTAAGGAAGGGCATCCTACCGTAAAACTTTTGCTCCAACAAAATTCATGAACTTTGGAAAAGAAGATATGGCCCCAGTCCCCGGCAGCCCTTCAGTGGGCAGGGGGTGCGAAGAATCTCCGGATCGAATGGTTGTGGAAGTGTCACCCTTCGGGTAGGCACAGTGAACGTTGGGACAATGAAGGGAAGGAGTGCAGAAGTGGCGGACATGTTGAAGAGAAGGAAAGTTGATGTGTGTGGGTTTCAGGAGGTAAGGTTTAAAGGTGAAGGTACGAGAGTCATAAAGGGTGAAGATAATGGAGCAAGATTTAAGTGGTTTTGGAAGGGAAACGGAAGTGGCACGAATTGTGTTGGCTTTGCGATAAGAGAGGATTGGGCGAAGTCGGTTGTAGCAGTGAAGAGAGTTTCGGACAGAGTCCTGAGAGTTGATGTAGTTATTGAGGCCGTTGTGGTGTATGCTCCGCAGGTTGGGCGAAGTGCGGAAGAGAAGGAAAAGTTCTACGACAGCGTGTATGCAGTAAGAGCAGACATTAGAGGGCGATGTGTGATGCTTGGTGATTGGAACGGTCATGTGGGAAGCGTAAACTGTGCGCATGGAGGTTTTGGAGTTGGTGATATGAATGCTGAAGGCGAGGCGATATTGGAGTTAGCAGCGAGTTGTGGGATGGTGGTAGTGATTACGTGGTTTATAAAGGAAGAAAGCAAGCTTGTGACGTATGAATCTGGTGACAGTAGGACGGTGGTGGATTATATACTGGTGAATGAAGAAGAGAGGAAAAACGTGAAGGACGCAAAAGTTATTGCAGGAGAAGAATGTGTGACCCAGCACAAGCTGCTGGTCATGGACTGGAGAATCAGGAAGGTGAAAAGGAGAAAGGTTGAGGGTAAAGGCAGGCTTAAGCTATGGAAGTTACGATCGAATGAAGGGAAGCAGTGTATCCGTGACGAAATTGCGACATTGAATGTTGAGGGTGAGACGGTGGAGGAGCGATGGACGTGCTTGGAGAAGGGTGTTTTAAAGGCAGCGGAGAAGGTATGTTGTAGAAGTAAAGGCGGTGTAGTAGAAGAACAGGCATGGTGGTGGGATCAGGGGCGAAACTAGCATCTTTTAAATGGGGGGGCTGGGGATGAAATTGCCCTGCAAGGACATAAGATGCCCTGCAGATCATATGGAACAGTATTTACACTATATATTTTTGGAATACATATTGTATTTTTGTGGCAGAACGCACTTTAGCGTACTATTATATCTTTAATGGCAGTTTTCGCATCTTTGCAGTTGCCCAATTTTTTAAAATAATATTTAAGTCAACATTGTCCGTAAGATCTTTTTCACATGCAAGAACGATTAAGTCATTTAATCGCGTATCTTTCATTGTGGATCTCAAGCAGTTTTTGACAATCTTAAGCTTGCTGAAACACCTTTCATCTTTTGCCACGGACACTGGAGCGGTAAGCAATAGTTGATACGCCTTGCACACCGTTGGAAAGACGTTTTTGTGTTTGAAAGCAAATAACGCAACGTCTTGAAGGGATTTAGGTTCTGATTTAAGTTGTGATGACACAATATTATTGAAAATTTCCAACTCCGACAGCAGTATTTCTGCATCAACATCTTTTACCGCCGGTGGAAAAAGACTATACATTTCATTAACTGTTTCAGCCATCGACCTTTCTAGCGGCAGCTGTAAGCTCTCTCCAAGAGGTTTTATTTTGTCGATGCAATCTTTAATGTTATCGGTATACTCGGTAATAAGTGAGTCTAGAACCAAGTACATTTCCTTTCGGTAGAAGTCTTTAAATGATATTTCTGTTGTTATTTCGGAATACTCGTTAATTCGTTTGGGTGGCTTTCTTGATCGATGATGACGAGTGTATTCTGCCATTACGTCTATTCCTACTTTGGTTCCAAATGCAACCATTGCCTCTATCTCCGAGTCTAATCCGTTCTCGTCACTTCGAATTTGCCTAAGGTTTTTTACTGTAGCATCAATCAGGTTAAGTGCATCTACTATATTTAGCTCCTCCTCCTGCAGTTGTTTGGTTAGGATTTTTGTTTTTGTCATTATGATTCGCATGAACATAAGAGCAAAAAGAAAGTCAAAACTAAAAAATTTCTTTTTTATTCCATCGCCTTTAGCTTTTACTTTTGATTCTACATCTCGAGCATTAATAACTTTCACAATAGCATTTGGTATTACCTTTATAACTTCTCCAGACAGCATCAATGGACTCAGAATTGTAAACCCATCTCGTCTTTGACAAGTTTCGAAACTTTAAATTGTTTTCAACATCTTTGCAACTTTCTTCTATAATTTTATTTCTTTTTGTGCTTTTGCTAAAAAACACATATACGTCTTCTAGAGCGTCGTACATTGATGTAATTATTGAGCTATGTTTGCAACAATGCTCGTTGAATGTATTAGACCGATGTCCCTGGCACGGGATGTAAGGCACTTGTCGTTTTAAAATTTCTTGCAACACTTTTTGAGCACCATTTAGTCGTCCAGACATTGATGTTGTGAAATCGTATGTTTGAAATGCAAGCATATCTATATCGATTTCATTTTCCATTAAGGATTTTATGACATCTTTAGCCGTTCCAGCACCAGTTTTATCAAAGGTCTCTTTCATTTCAACCAGTCTCTCGCATGGGATGCCCATTTGGTTGACATATCTTACAGCAACGATAAGCTTGTCTTGATTTGATGTATCAGGTGTAGTGTCTGCAGACACTGAAAATACACCTGCTGACTTAATTTCAGCACGAATTTCATCCCTCACAGATTGAGCCAGCAAATGAAGCATCTCATTTTGTGCCTCTGAGCTTGTATATGTTGTACTGTATGGCCTGAGGCGCTGATCGTCCAGCCACAGCTTGAGAACAGGACAATGTCTTGAGAGAAGATTTACAATCTGAATGAAATTTCCGTCCTTGTCATCGCCTCCTCCTCTGAATGCCAATGACTGCCTTGCTAGAGTGCGAGCCACATCAAGTAGAATCAACATAATTTCCTTGTTCTTTTCTTCATCTGCTTTCTCTTGGATCAATACTTCCTTCATTTTCGCATTCATCATCACATCAATATGGCCAGATGTTATTGAGAAACGAGCAAAATCAGCCAGAGCAGCTTGATGGGACTTGCTACTGAAGTGTTTATGAAGTTTTCCTTTCTTGTTTGCACCAACGCTCCTCATTTTCTTCCATGATCGTACACCATTTATCCATGCTGGATCACTTTTTTCTCGTCCTGGCCCGCTTGGAAATAATGAGCATACAAAGCAATATGCTTTATTTTCCTTCTGACTGTACTCAAGATGAGGGAAAGAGTCGTACCAGGATGCATTAAATTTGTTAGGTTTATTTTTGGCTTTTGTTTCATTTACAGGAAAAGACTTCAATCTAGGTTGACAGGGTCCTTGTTGCATGAGAAACTTTCTTTGATCGTCATTCATATCTCGTGGCCTTTCGCTTGGATCACGGGAAGTAAATTTAGTGTTTTCTTCTAAAACTGGGCAACCAATTTCAATTTCATCTCGCTGTGCTTTGTTGATGACAATTGAACAATTTTTTACCAGTTTCACAGACAAATCTTGTATTTTTTTTGCTATGTGCTTCACTTTTTCTGAAAAGCGCTTCGCGTTTACGTGTCTATCATTATCTATTATCACTTCATTAAGAATATTCTCACACTGATGAAAAAGTTGTGATAGAACTCTTAACTGTCCAGCACAAGTGATCCATGTAATATCTTATTGGTTATCTGAATCACAGTTTGATGACTTTTCACTTTGTGCAGCCTAAACGTATAAAGACATTGTAAAAAAGACACATCCAGTAAATTAAATACAAAAATCTGCATTTAACAGATGAATAAATGACACTTGAAAGATTCGTATTAAAAAAGATTCGTATTTTTATTCTGAACAATCAAAAGACTAATGAAATTAATCTTAACGTCTACCTCTTCATTTGAGCTATCATCACTCAGCAAACAACTGTTTTCTACTGCTCCAAATCTCGCTGCGTGACTGTTAACAGAAGTGTCGTCGTCAACAAATAATGGCTCTTCAATAGCCACACAAAGTTCCACTTCATCGTTTATATTATCATCTACCATTGCCTCAAATTCTGCTATTTCATGTGTACCAGACGTGTTGTCTTCAATAGTAAACGGATTTTCTGAAACAGCACATGACTTCAACTCATCTTTGTTTTTTTCTTCATACACAACGACAGCTGTTTCATTTATCTCGTTAAGGCTGGTGCTGCTTGACTCTAAAGACGTCGTACTTTTCTAAACATTAGTTTAAAACAGACTTTATAAAACAAGTCCTTTGTTACTGCACTTTTATGAATTTCAAAACAAATTTTAACTTACATTGCACGAGGCAAATGAGAGTCTTTTTTGTGACGGATCAACGATGTTAATAATTTTGCCCTTTCCTTTGTGAGTGGAATTATTATGTTTAGAAAAATTATCATTGAACATTTCTTTATTACATGCAGAACACTTAATTTTTTGCCGATACGGCCGTTTTCTCTTGTTCTTGATAACTTTGGAATTTTCTGTTATAATCACAATAAATACCAATCACATTTACACATTTGTTGGTTTCGGGTTTTTTGTTTAAATAATTGCTATTACTTACCATTCATCCTTGACTTTCCTTGTTCGTAAAATAAACTATACAAACACTAGCTACTAAAAAGCTTCAATCAATTTAAATCAACAAAATTTATCTTAGTGTTTGTGTATACTGATGTAAAAATATAGTATGGTGTTTCCACTTAAGATATAAAAATTTCAATAATTTTGATTACGAACACTTCCGATGATGATGCATATCTGCCTTTAAAATGTCCGCCAAAACAACAGGAAATTTATAAAAGGAAAGTTTCCTTGATGCGTACCGTTTACCGTTCTTACCCATGAAGTGCAAATCCAGCTTAAATTAAAACTGAACTACATTTTCAAACTATGTGGATAACTGTTTGCACGTATCCTAGTGTTTAGTTTTGTAATTAGCCCTGCAAATCCAATCGTTGCCCTGCAACGTTAACATTTTGGGGGGGTTAGTTCCCCCCCATACCCCCCCTTAAATTTCGCCCCTGGGTGGGATCAACGAGTCAGCGAAGTGAATGGCGCGAAAAAGTTGGCATTTAAAAGGTGGAGAAAGTCGCGGACTGAAGCAGATAGGATCGATTACATCCGATTCAAGAAAAAGGCGCGAAAGGAGGTGGCTAAAGCGATAGAAAGACATCAGAAAGAGCTTCTCGTGAAAATGCAGGAGAATGGACGAAAAGCGTTGTTTAGAACTGCTAGAAGGAGCAAGAAGGAGAGGAACGATATTTTGGGTGCTCCCGGCGTGCAGAACCACGATGGGGAGTTGAAGGTGTTATTGGAAGACAAGTTAGAAGTGTGGAGGGCGTACTGTGACCGTTTGATGAATGTAGAGAATGAGTGGAATGGAGAAGTTGAAGCAGATGAAGTTTTTGGGCCGTGGGAAATAGTGACTGTTGATGAGGTGGCGGCGGCTCTGCGCAAGATGAAGAAAGGAAGGCGAGGACCGAGTGAAAGCGATATGTTGGACAATGAACTAGCGTGAGAATGTGTAGAGCGAGCCTCAAAGATGCCGAGTACATGGAGAAAGAGTCTAGTGGTCCCGCTGTACAAAGGAAAGGAGCAGCGACGGTATGTGGGAATTACAGGACTATTAAGCTGATGGAGCATGCGTTGAAGATAGTAGAGAGAGTGTTTGAAAGAAGGTTGAGGGAAGTTGTTCGGATGGGGGAAGAGCAGTATGGATTCATACCGGGGAGAGGAACGACGGATGCGTGTTTTGTGTTGAGGCAGTTGCAGGGAGAAATTTTGGAGAAGGACAGAGAATTGTATATGGTGTTTGTTGATTTGGAGAGGCATTTGATAGAGTTCCGAGAAAGGTGATCGAGTACGCTGCGTAAGAAAGGTGTGACAGATAATATGGTTCGGGCAGTTATGGAGACTTATGAAGGTGTAGAGGCGGTGGTTACGGAGGAAGGTGTTAGATCTGGTGTTTTTGAGGTAAAAGTTGGTGTTCATCAAGGTTCAGTCTTGTCGCCGTTACTGTTTGCTTGTGTGATGGAGGTACTGACAGAGGAAGTGAGAAGAAAAGAAAGAAGCTGGTGTTTGTTGTATGCAGATGACATTGTCTTGGTGGCGGAGTCGAAGCAGAAAGTCATGGAATGGTACCGAGAATGGAAAACGGCAATAGAAGTCAAGGGACTGAAAGTGAATGAGGCAAAGACGAAGGGCATGAGATGCTCGAGGCAGGTGGAGGTGAAGGACAGTGATAAATGGCCATGTGGTGTGTGTGGGAAAAGAGTTAGAGTGAATTCGATAATGTGTGGAAATGCAATAAGTGGGTTCATGGAAGATGTTCAGGTGTCCGTGGTGCATTGACAAGAGTAACTGATTTTGAGTGCGGGACGTGTCGAAGTGGTGGGCGAGTCGCGATTGAACGGTTTTGAACTGGGTGACGTGAGTTTGGAAGGTGTATCGGAGTTTAAATATCTGGGCGATGTGTTAAATGATGGTGGAGGGTGCGAGCAAGCGGTGAGGAACAGAGTTCAAGCAGCGTGGTGGAGTTTTAGAGTTGTCGGGAATGTTGTGCGGAAAGTCGACTTCGTTGAAGAAGGGGAGAATTGTATAAGGCATGTATTAGAAGTGTTTTGGGATATGGAGCAGAGTGTTGGGCGCCGAAAGCAGAGGACCTAAGAAGATTGGCGTCGACGGAAAGGAGAATGCTTAGGATGATGTGTGGTGTAACGTTGAAGGATAGGATTCGAAGTGAAGAGATTAGAGAAAGAGTTGGTGTTGAGTGTATCGAGAATTGGGTAAGGCGCCAGCGTTTGAGGTGGTTTGGGCACGTGGAAAGGAGGGAAGAAAGTGCTGAAATTCGTAGAACGTTGCATATGAATGTTGATGGAGTCCGCAAACGAGGTAGACCGAGAAAGAGATGGATGGATGCTGTGAACAGTGATATGAAGGCGATGGGTATAACGAGAAATATGGCGAGAGATAGAGACGTGTGGCGTGGAAAAATTCATGGACCGGTCAACCCCGCTGGCGGGGATTAATACTGGCCGGTGTATAAATGTCGTTTGTTTGTGTTTGTTTGTGGCGTGAGGCAAGTAATATTTGCTAAAAGCTTGAATAAAAATAAATGATAAATGTCTTTTTATTTAGTGTTAGTGACAAGAGGACAATTAAGAGTGAAGCACATCTATTTTTCCATCAATGTCATTTCGATTATACTAAAGACAAATCAAAATGATCATACAGCGTGTTCGAAAAAAACGGAATCCGCTTAAATTATTACGTACACATTAAATGAAATCTGCTTGAGATCACTTAGTCTGCAATGGAGATTTGTTCTGCCTGTTTTATTTAATTCCACGTTTTTCTATGTTTGAAGCAACTAATGAAAAAAAAAGGATTACGTTTTCGCGGCTTCACATTCTAATAAATGTCGCTTTTTTATGTTACAAAGATTTAATATTATTCGCGCAAGTTATAAGGGTCACATATATCCTTTGCGTCGATACGTAACAAATTGTTCCACGGAATTTAAATCATTTCAAGGATATAGTAACTAATTGTTAAGAAAACAGAGAAACGCTTATAATTTTGGTTTTTGTTTAGGTATTAATTGTATTATTACAAAATGCATTCAGCAAGCTTACTATATAGGACTCTTAGCTTTTTATGGGAATATTTAAATGTATATTTTCTCTCGGGTATATCTATACTCATACAGGCGTAGGAAATACGATCATTGGGTGGTGGGGAGGAAGCTTATATTTATACATGCATGTTATAATCTGATTTTAAAATACGCATATTATGCTTGTATGAGTATTCTCCACAATTATCGATCTTTCTACGCCCATGCATCATGAGGTGATGTTTTTGCATTGATTTAAGATTTCTTAAATAAACATTACGAAGCGTTTTCCTTCCACTTCACCTTACGGCTGACATATGTTTTACGTTTTTATAGGCAACTCAATCCTACGAAATATGCAATTCAAAAACAAAATCGAACTGTATCACACAAGAGAAATAAAATTTTGAAAGACATCACCCCCCGTCAAGTGGCATGCGCAGAATTTCACGATGCTCGCACGTGATCTACATGTTATTTTTAGGGCTGTGTTTTGAATTAAGATCCAATATGTTGTTATGGGAGGTTTTTCCCTTACGGATAAAGCTAATGTTTTCATTTTTTCGATTGGTACTAAAATACAATGTATTTCGCTACGATACTGCAATCAAGATACTTATGAAGTCAATGAAGCGGGTCTTATTAAGCAGAAAAGCAACGACACTTTGCAATGGCACCGATATTAACAGAATGTCCGTGTACGAAATATCTAAGATAAAAGACACTGCATTGCATCCAAACTTGACAAAACTGAGGTTATAATCTTATTTTTTCATCAATGATCAGGAAGACTTGCCGAATACTTTTAAGATTCGGCGATAAAAAGCACATAAGACGGCAAAATATGGCTGAAAGCGGGTTAAAGAGCTAGGTATGCGAAATATATTTTATCGTATGCTAGCAAAAACAATGTCAAATGCTTGAAATAACGAATAATTAGAGTTGAACAATTCAACATCAGCTGTATAATTACTCTTTCAAAATAAATTCGCTTTGTGAGGCATATACGTCATTGAATCATAACACAAAGTTAGCGAAATAACACATAATGCACAATTATACAATACTTCTTCAGGTAATCTATAATAATTATACTTTATAGCATTATAGTATTATAATTAATTGTAAAGGTACAAAAAGCTTAATAGATCGCCATCAATTTACATTTATGGACTGATTTATACATCGTAAACATACATAATGAGTCAGTTTATTTTATCTCACAAACCTTTTACTGATTGACGCTTTAAGTTTTCAGGTTTTCGCAATTGACGTTCTTGGCAAATTAAGCACTGTATGTATATCTTTTGAGTCGATACGTGGCATGTTATTTTGTGTCACGGAATTTAAATCATCTTAAGAATAGATTGTTATGCAAAGCAAAGATACGGCGTATGACTTTTATTGTTTTTGTTTAGGCAATAGATGAACATAACTTTGAGCAAAATTATCCATAGCAAAAAATGTTTATAATAATGCATTATCATAGATTACTTAGACACGTTTACACTATACCGGATTACTATCGTAGCAAGTTAATTTCCTTTTCACTAAAAGGCAGTGAATTTGCTCAACGTCAGAAACACAAACAAATGGACTAAATTTATCAACTTAATAAGTGTAAGCGCAGCTTTAGTACAGCTTACTTTAAACATTTGACGTTATTTGCAGTGCATAAATATATATACTTAAATGGTGTAGGTTGATTGTTAATTTTTGGGGGGAGGGTTCATACTTAAATATGCTTGTTGTAATGTAATACAAAACAATGGCCTTTAAAAGAGCTTGCTAATTATGAAAAGTTGAACTCTAGCCTACACAATTATCAATCTTCCGTACGCCCATACAGTTATGTTGAAATGAAGTCTGTTGTAAAGCAAGAATGATTTGATTCCACACCAGCCAATTAATGTTAGAGACAGTGGCGTGCGGTGACCGAATTTAGTAGGCAAGCGCTGGGGGTGAGGTTCGCGGCAAGCCGCGAACCTAACTAGCGGGTCTGGGGGCATGCTCCCCCAGAAAATTTTTGGATTTTGAAGGCTACTGGAGCGCATTTCCCGCTATTTCTGGGAGTACTTTGTCGAAAAAAATGTATCTGTTATGACTGAAACAGTATTGAAAAAATCTAAAAAATTCAAAAACTTTTATAGAGTATATATCACAATTACGGTTTAAAAGTATTACATGTGGTATTGTGATATAAAGTCGTTTTAAGTAAATGGCTACGAGTGCATTTCTATTGTAGTGAAGAAGTAACAGAACGAAATAGTCCAAAATCCTACAACAGATTTACTTAAATGTAAATTCCATCCGTCTTTCCTTTGCGCAAAACTCCTTTATAACGTCCTCATAGAATCGTGGCTTCCCCTGCAAACTTACCAACATCTCCTTCTCGATTGAAATTGTAGCCAATGCAGAAAGTCGCTCTTGCCCTTGTGTACTGCGAAGATAAGTTTTGATACGCTTGAGAGCCGAAAATGATCTTTCTGCAGAGGAGGACGTACTTGGCATAGTAAGAATGAGCTGACACAATCGGTACACCTCTGGAAAACAGGCTTTCAAGTCAAGTTCGATTATTTTTGATATAATATCAAAAACAGGTTTCGGTTTGAGCTCGGCAGATGCGTATTCAACGATTAGTTCACTTTTTAGTGCTTGAAGATTAAAGAATGTTCCATATGAATCTTGCAACCATTGCAGCACTCGTTCGGGAAAATTCCGGCTGTACAATACGTGCTTTGAATGATCCAACAAAGAAACGAATGCTCTGCTGTTAAGACTTTCGAATCTAGAGTCAATCTGCACGACAATGGTATCGACTACCCAGAAAAACATTTGACGGAAGGACGCCTTTACATCCTCTTCACTTTGCCCGCGTTTCAGTGCTACTTTGACGATACTTGACGTAAAACTCCAATAATCTACGAATTTTGTTCGTTGTTCTTGAATCTTATCTTTCGTCTCGCAAACTTTCGTGACACAGAAGACATTATCGAACTGCTTACTCTGAATGATATTATACAAAACATCCGTAAGACCAAATATTTCTGAAAATATTTTAAGGCAGAATACAAACTGGAAATCTGCAAGAACTTGTCGGTAGCCCCTCGCTTCGTTTAACGTCGTATCGTCAAACTCGTCATCATTTTCGATGATGTATTCGAAAACTTCGAGCAGCTTTGCTCTTGTCTCCAGTACAGCATGGATTAACCTGCTCTGATAGTGTCATCGAACAGCTGTTCCAGTGGGAATGCGTCTGCCGACAACTGTGTCCAACAGGTATGTTCTCTTGGACGAGGCGTAAAAAAAGGATGAAAGACCAGTGACGGTTTTAAAAAATATACGACACTCTTTAGTTGACGAGACAGCTTGAACAAGGACCACATTTAATGCGTGTCCGCAACAGTGGATAAAAAGAGCATGTTGATAGTCTTCTCTTACTCGTGTTTGCAAACCGGACAGTTCTCCTGACATCACACTCGCACCGTCATACGTTTGGGCAATCAGTTTTTCGCCGCATCCGTACTCGTTCAGGGTTTTACCGACTTCTTGTTTCAGTCTAGCAGCAGTTCTATCCTCACTTACATCGGTAAATCCAAGAAAGCGCTCCACGGCTTTACCATCTGGGTTGACATAGCGAACTATAGTTGTTGGCTGCGATAAGGTCTTAACGTCGGAGGCTTCATCCAGGGAAATAGCAATAAATGGGCTCCTCATCACTTCATCTTTTATTGCTCTCAACATAACGTCCTTGACAGCAACAATCAAATCGTTTTGGATACGATTAGAAAGTCCAGAAAACACGGGGTTGCTGTATGAAGATGCTGTTCAAGCGTGGGGTCATATGCACTTAGCAGTTTTATCAATTCGACGCAATTGCCCCTGTTGGCAGACTCCTCCAGCTCCACCCGACCTCTGAAAGAAAGTTCCTGATTGCCAAGAAAGCAAACAACATCAATGAAACGGAAAGTACTTCTCTATTTTTGTGCACCATCAAGTTGTGAGCTGAGATTTGTTGACGGGCCTGTTCGTCTAGTTGCATGTCGATGCGTGTACGCCCAAAACTGGAATTCATTAGGCAACTGGACAAGTGTACCTTCGTTTTCTCCTGTCTGTTGACGGCATTACACAGGTTGGCCAAATCATCGTATCCCTTCTTGCACCGGACTGTCTTGTCTGTTGAGTTGAAAAAAAGACACGGCCAGCAAAATAACTTATTCAATTTTGAGGAGCCAGCCATCCATTTGTACTTGTCGTAATTTGACGTCTGAAAACTTCAAATAAAGACTTTACCACTTAGCTTGGATGTTGTATGTAGTCCTTGCAACTCAGGAGTGGGACGGCCACTTCGACGATCTCTCGTTTCTCGGAAAAAGGTCTCAATCCAAATGAGAGGGATAACAGTGATTCCACAATGCATTCAGTCATGTTGTAAAGGTGTCGTGAAAATACCGAATGTAGAAGTAGAACATAAAAGGATGAAAATTCCTATGCTATATATTTTATAGGAACATCAATCTTATTTATTCCTCACATCAGTTACATGATATCTACCGGATACAAATATCAAAACTACTACGCAAAAGGAAGCTCTTGTCAATATCATAATCTTGTATTACATGCTACAGATTATATCTTCTACATACATAAATTGCTAGACAATAGGCGCGAAATGTATTGTAGCAGTCGTGATTATAACAATTAAAAACAGCCAGTTTCGCGCACAAAATTGGCACGGTGTGTTACAAACTGAGGCCATGGCGTTGTTTAATGTTTATATTTTGGTATAATGACGTCATGGCAACGTGTTCTCCCGTTCTTCAAAATGTGTCTGGCACTGACTCGTACATTTCAGAATATCGGAGAGTCGTGTTTATTATTTAGTATCTTGTACCTTTTATTTTTAGTCATTAATTTACGAATTCAACGACACAAGACTGACAAGAGCATAGTGTTTTGGTCATAATGCTAGTCATACTTTACCACAACACACGTTTGCGTGCATTTCGATATCTCTGCAGACTGCGGCCCTGCTTGTTTACGCACATTGTGCGCAGAAAATAATAAAATAACCAGTAAAGCACCTACTACTTTGAATTAGAAATCAGAACATTACCTTTCGCTCTCAGTCATCTTTTAATAAACGATAACATTAACGGCGTGAATAATTCGGATGTCCAATGTGTTGAATATACGAACATTATTCGTGCGCTGATATGTGTTTAAAATTGCGAGCGTACAAGACTGTTGACCAATCGCTATCAAGCGGCGCCCTTAGAAGCGCCGCTTGCCTTTTCTCGATATTCCTCGAATAAGAAGCCTCCAAATCAAGATTAACGCATGCGCAAATGTTCAAATTAAGCTCCGAAGGCAAGCGCGCTTGCCTTGGTTAATAAATAAGAAATTTTTAAGGTGTATTTAATCCACTTGACTCATCTTACAAGTGTAGCAAAGTGAAACCAAAAACCACGACAGTAAATCGCGTATAAAATTATAAATAGCAAGCATTTCAATTGTAAAGACAATTTAGACAAAAGATTACATTGACATTGTTTAGAGCAGAAAAATTTAGACTGATTTTGCTCAGAGATTGATCCAAAAAATTTTTGTTCGGTAAAATGCTTAGGCAAGCGGCGCTTGCCTACGCTTGCATGACCGCACGCCACTGGCTTCGTGCAAAATTTTGAAGCGATGCAAGCAGTAGGATGGACAGCAGGACGGCTTCGCCTTAAGAAGGATGCTGTATCCACGATTTTTGAATACTCTGTGAACCCACAAGTGTAGCATCTAAAAGGAAGCAGCCAACAAATGTTAGAACTGCATTTGAGAAGAGACGAAGGCAAGAGTTGATTATTATAGTTATAGTTAGCAATATTTGTTTACATTTATCAAAAACTAAGCTATTAGCATTACCAAATTGAGGACAATTTTATAATTTTAGATTATTGACGACGGTCTTGCAGAACATGACGACTTTCTTGTAGGCGACGACCACGATGTGTCGACATCGGCTCAAAATGTTTGTGCGTTTTACCTCAAAGGAAGTTTGTCTAAGATAAAAGATGTCAAAATATAGGTAGACAGCGAAACACGAACATATACAGTGGTAACTAATTCAGAATAATGTCTTTTGATCTTTTCTTTGTTATTTTAACTCATAGAAGCGTAATGTGAAATGCCAAGCAGACATACCAATCCGTCCGGAAAAACACGTAAGGTCAAGAACCACTCAAGCAAAAGTGCAAAATATGATAAGTAGAGGTATAGACTTTCCAATTCGGCAGTTTTGATTTTTGTAAAAAATCCAGCAATACGATAA